TTNTTTTTGGTTTTTTTTTTTTTTTTTTTTTTTGGGACGGAGGATAAAATTGACTGCTGGGCTTTGGATGATGGGGTTCCTGTACTGTACTGAAATTTGAAATTTTGTTTTATACCCAAGACAAGTCTTGATATGGGAGCAGATGATCGGGATGGGTTCCAGAAGTTCTGAGCTCAACCACCGGTAACTCCTACTACTAATGCGGATCGTCGGCTAGCCGGCTTAGGTAGGACGCGGGCCCACCTAAGCGAGCCGACGATTAGCCGCCGAATATCAGCAAGAAGAAGGAGGGTGGCTGGGGTTTAGTCACGATCAAGGTTAGCCCAGGGGATTACCGCAGAAGGCGATCAGAGCCCTTTGCACGACGATCGTTTCCACACTTATAGATCGCATGTTGTTTTCTGTATGAGAATATGCACCGTGTGGAGTTTAGCAGCAATCACGTACCTAATACGAATTTGTATATCTATTTTTGTTCCATTATTGTGCTGGGTGAAAGTAGTAAAGATGGGACTTTGGGAGGGGTACGGTCTGATGGTATGCCGTGTTTTCACTACGACATCGCCATGTTTCGAGTTGCGATGAGTGGATGCCTCTTTACATTTATGATACGCACACTTGTAAAGCAATGTTTTACGAGCATGTAGACTTTTGCCCCCCCAAAAATATACATATTCTTATCAATTGTTTGTTTTAAATACCGGTACCTACTTGTAAGTGATCTGATGAAAGTGTCTCCACTTTGCTGGGTGCTCCGCCTTGGTGGAGCCGACTTGCAGGGCAAGTGGGGATTAACTTTACAGGAATTATTTAAAGGTCACCGACGATTACGGTACTGCAGGAAATGAAGGGAAAGTGAGGGGATACTGGTAAAAGAGGGTATGTAAGGTACACACATATTTTTATAAACGTAGTATACTTGGATATACGTAGTAGACAGAGTCCCACACTGACTGCAGTTCCGACGAGCACATGGATATCAGGTGACTCGAGCCAAATGCGACTGCCACCTGCGTTGTCAATCCACCAGTAATCATTCCCAGCTCCAGCTCCAAGCCAGGAGGCCAATCACAAGGAAAACAAGACGCACGGCTTGACACTCTGACGACGAGGTGCATCGACCAAACCGACCAGACAAACCATATACTACTACGATACGTACGTAGTACTACATGCGGATACCGCAAAGGATCAGAATCAGGATCAGGATCAGGACCCGGCCTTGGTTCTTGCTTCTTTGCTTCTTTGTTCCCCTCTTCTTGCTGTCACCTCCCAGATTATGTAGTACTACGTAGGTGTCGGTCGGTCGGGCTGTATCTTCGACCTTGACTTGAAAACGAGATCATCGAGATCATCGAGATTACCATCGAGTTTCAACATCCCAGAGATCAATCATTCAGCTGCCCAGCCCTGCCCAGCCCTGTTCTTGGGGCCAAGTCAAGCCAGCCAAACCCACTCACCAGCCAAACCCACTCATCACCCCCCC